AATTATGCAAAATGAATGTCGATTTGTTAGATGTACAAATTGTCTAGCCCATGTAGTTCACTTTCTCTCTGTTTTATCCGAACAACTGCCCTGGAGGTAGGCTAAGCTGAAAGGCAGTGACCACCCCTTTGAAAGGCAGTGACCATCCAACTGCCAACTGAGCAGGGGAACTCTGGTTTCTGAGGCTCTGGCCCGAAATGCTAATCTATCCTGGGTTTTCTTCCTCCACCTAGAATGACTGGTCTCAGCCCACAAGAAAGAAGTGCAGAATCTCACACTGAAAATTGTTGCTTGGTCTTGGAGGCCGGGATCCCGTCTAGCGTCTGAACTTCAATGGCAATTGGTTCTGGGCAGATTTTATCTGGGTTTTCATCCCAGAGTTGCGAGAGAAGTTCATAGTCTCCAGTACCAGTGGGATTGTCCCGGTCGAACCAACGGGTCTTGCATCCTAGAAGGGAAGAGAGGGAGGAATTAAAATGACTTCGTGAAATGACCAAACCTTTACCCAAGAACATTGAAAAGAGGATCTGGGGGTGTATGGGTGTGACTGCTGCACAGAACATTTTCCCCTGCTTTTTTCCTATTACTTCTCATCCAACCCAATGAAAGCATTTGCTTTGGAAATTTCTTTGGAAGGAGAAGGGAACTCTGGGGGTGAGATTTTCTTTGGCAGAGTATGATGTTTTAGCAAGCATTTAGTGATGAAATAGCCAAGAGGTGTGTGTGTGCACGTGCACACACAAAACTTTCCTGTCTCAAATCAAATCAAATCAAATCAAATCAAATCAAATCAAATCTATTGTTACGATCAAAGCTCAGTAATTATCTTTAATTCTGCAACCCTCTCCTCTGCAGCCTTCAACTCAGTCCCAGAGGACTTCAGAACTGAAATTCTCCCAAAGTTTTTTCCTCCCTCCAGATGGGTAAATGCAGGCATGGAAAGAAGCATAGGAGAAAATAACACAGCAGCCGTTGCGGACACCGACAGTCAAGCCAGTTCACAACCTTCTGCAGCAAAAGAGAAGCCCATTTCACAAAAGACACCATTCAGGGAGAGTGCAAGCTAGATTTTGGCCAAGCCTCGCCTGCTATAACTGGTTGATGGATTAATCATTCCTAGGGTTTCTCTTGAAATACCGTGAAGTAGCATACCGTGCAATTTAAGAACAGGAATAAAACAACCATCAGTGAAAACAGTTAAGAGGAAGTCCATGAAAATGTTTTGGAGTTAAAAAAAAGTAAGAATGAAATGCTGAATTGAGGCAGGGAAGGAAATATAGATTTAAAAAGGCACTAGAATGTAAAAAGAAAAAAAAAGAATAGAACTTCTCTCATTTATAAGGACTGACAAAGATATAGGGGCCACACTGCTGGTTGTAATAAGCCATTGGTTATAAAATGCAGGAAGGAGTGGACTGAAAATCAACATTTGCAGTCCTCCAGCGCAGAGCCCCAGATATTCACTACAGAGGTGAAGCTTTTGCTATAGGAAGAGAGAAAGTGCAATTCCTCCCCCAATATTATGCACAGCCTAGGAATATCCTCTAGAATAGCCAAGGGGCTTACAGCTGCAGAGTGGCCCAACCAACAGAAAAGAAGGGAAATTACTGACCCTTTGCAGGATTTTTTGTCTCCTCGGCACCTGGGGAAAAACAAATACCGTCACAGGGCGGTTGAGGCTGGACTCACAAACACCCCGCAGCTTCGGGTCTTAAGGTTGTGTTGTTAAAAGGCGGCGCCAGGCGTGGCTGTCCTTTGCGGCAACAGCAGCCAGTTTGTGGGTGCCAAGACAGTGGCTGGAAAGCGGGGTGCCCATCCTGCCCCCCAATTCCAGGGATGGGGCCCCGGAAGACTGTTGATTTCAAAGCATCATGTTTCAGTAAAAGAAAGGAGCTATTGCAAATTAGATTCCTTTGAGCTAATCTGGTGAGTTTGCCCTCATTTCACTGCAGTTAAAAGTCAATGAATAGCTTGCATTGGGAACTGGAGAGTCACTTGGACAACTCAGACTGAGAACTATTTTTGCAGCCTGGCTTTAATCTTTTGCTGTTTCCTGCACTGGCAGGATGATCTTCCAAGTCCCTTCTGGCCCAGATGTTGGGTGATTCCCACTGCAGCTGCATGGTGGATCGGGCCCCTCAACCGGGGGACTTTTTCTTCTAGCACCCCCTGTACTTTTAGTAGCTGTTTAAATGATGTTTGGCTTACGTCTCTGAGAATGGAATCAGCTGGGGGGAGTAGTGGTTAAAGCTGCGAATAAGAGGACGTTCTGAGTACTTACCACTGGAGGAGAGGGTGAGGAGAATCACTAGAAGCTGAAGAGAGAACACAGAAGGATTGAAGAATTAAAGGTACGGCAAAACCCAGCTTGATTAAGGTGCTTTCTGGGTAGCGTTTTACCAGTGCAAACAAATGTCCAAGTGCATGGCTAAAAGACGGCCCTAAAGCACGCGACCCAACCTGGGGCCCTTCCCAAACCATCAAGGGTTTTGTCCTTGTGTATTTTTCTTTCTGGTGGTGCGGGACGAACACATGCGTGAACATCAGCAATGCACAAAGAAACATGAATGGCGCTCTGTCAGAATCAAATCAATCCATCACACTGGGAGAATCCCGGCTGCATCGCAGAAGCAAAGAGGAGGAAGGCCACGGATCACAAAATGAACTCTTCAGTGCAGGAGCTTCTCTTTTCAATCTTAATTCCTCACAGAATTTGATTTGCAGACCTATCGCTCTCTTGGCAACCTGCCCTAGGATAATCTCCAGTTTCCTGACTTTGTTCTTCAAATGTGGCACCTAGAACTGAGTATGAAAAGTGTAAGATTTTTTAAATTTTGCGGTAGAGCATATGGATTCTATGCAACCGCTTTCCCCATCTTGCTCTTTTCTCCCAAGTGTTTCCATGCACGTTTCTTGCAGCTGCTGATTATCCTCCCAAACGAGGGGAAAGACGTGGGCGTAAGAGGAAAGATGGAGGAATAACTTGCCCTCCTGTTCCATCACAAGCAAGGCTCTTAGCATCTACTGCTTGAGGGTCTCCACAGAATCGTAATTAGATAATTAGAACATTTTTATTCTTGATCAGTTTGGTCCACCCAATGGGACCTCCCTCTCAAAAGCTAGACTTTTTTGCTTGAATATTCACTTACATGTATTCACTTCTGTTGGTTGGGATTGTCTCTGATCATTAAAACTCTTAGATGATCAACTCTGTTAAAAGAATCCCTCCATCTGAAAACCCGGTTAGCATTTAGATTTGGTTTGGAAAAAAAGCCTTACCGCAGTTTGGAGTCCTTTCATGTCTGGCAGCTTGTGGAAAGAGTCGTGTGCCAGTTCCTCTGGAGAGGCTTTTTAAGGGTTTTTGACGGCTGTTCCCGTGCGTAGATGAACTTTTGCATTTCCTGTTGGGCTGCATTTCTGCCCTGCTGACATTTGGTGATGAGGAAGCCTTTCCTAAGCGTGATCGTCCATCTTGAGTTTCGTCGTGACAAATCTCAAAGGATTTGGGAGCAAGGTGGGTTTCGTGTGCTCAGCATCCCTGAGCTCAGATGTTGAGCTGAGAAGCTGGCGAAGGAGGAGGAGGTGGTGGACACGCAACTAGGACGTGCACCACCAGATTATTGACCTGTCGGAAAGATTTACAGCATCAGACCTCAGATCTCCAAGTTTGGTGCAACTGTGCTGAACTGTGTTTGAAGTCACCATAGAATTCAGGGGTGAGATGCATCCCAGAGGGCCACATTTAAATCTCTGCATCTCTGGCTAGTCAAATTGGGGAGCGGCTCTTCAGAGCTCTCAGGATGGCCCCCAAGAGAAAGGCTGGCAAAGACACTCACTCCCCACGGATTTCAGCAGTGATGCAAGTCGGTCAGGGTTTGAGCAATCCAAAATATGAGTGGGTTCTAACATGAATGTCTGCATCCTCTTTTTTTCCATCAAAATGTTGGGCAGACAGTAGTACTATTAGATCCTGCATGAGCCCAACCAGTAGAGCTTGTAAAGCCATGATTTGTGCTTGGATTATGGCTTCCATGATTAAGGAACACATGGCTTCTTTCCCTTCCTCACCTGCATCTGTCTATCCTTCCTTCCTTCCTTCCTTCCTTCCTTCCTTCCTTCCTTCCTTCCTTCCTTATTCTTTTTCTATCTATTTTATCATCTATTTATCCTTCCTTCCCTCCTTCTTTCCTTCTTTCTTTCTTTCCTTCCTTCCTCCCTCCCTCTCCCTTTTTCTCCTTCCTTCCTCTTTCTATCCATCCAACCATTCTTTTCTA